GTTCTGTTAACATAATTAATGACCCACATTGCCCACTATATCCCAGAGCTAATCTGCTTTGAGGCTTCTCTGGTGTCTAATGAGATTTGAGCTCACCCTGCCTCTTCCCCTCAACAGGGCCTTAATTGGGTCTCTCTAATGAGGATCGATGCCCAAATAAGCTTCTAGTAGCTCCTTATCTTTGTGACCTCTACCTCCAGCTAATTCCAGCTTCAATTAGCCAGTGGGCTACGAAGTCAGTGGGGCAAGGAGGGAGGAAGAGCACAGCGGCAGCTGCCGTGTCCTCCCGGAGCAGATTCCCCTCTGGCAGACCTCTGCTTCCCCGGGCACAGCCACCCTGCACGCTGGGGCAGGAAACGAGGGCAACCAGAGCACTACGAAGAGGGATGAACGAGGGAGTAAGAGTAGCAGAAAGCTAAGTCCTGCAGTGAGACCTGCTGGACTCCTGGTGTTCCCTGGCAGGGAGGCAGCAAGCATAGCTGCTGGAGAAAGGAACACAGAGCCAGAAAAGCCCAGATGGAAGTCCATTGCTGCCCTCACCACCTCCCTGGGCTGCTCTGCTCCCAGAGAATGAGACATCAGCACATTTAGATTTCAAGGAAGGACTTTTTTTTATGATGAGGGTGCTGACACACTGGCACAGGTTGCCCAGAGAAGCTGTGGCTACCCCATCCCTGGAAGTGTTCCTGGCCAGGTTGGATGGGGCTTAGAGAAGCCTGGGCTGGTGGGAGGTGTCCCTGCCCAGGGCAGGGGGTTGGGCTAGATGGACTTTAAAGGTCACTTCCAATCGAAAACACGACGTGATTCTATGATTTCGGATGCCAGTGTCCACTGAAAACACCAGAGATGAACCCAAATTAACCAAGAGATTCATTGTTCTTCTGCTAAAGGTTCTTTTCAGCTTTTCTTGCAGGGGTAACAACTCAGAACAAACTTTTCAACATGTAATTGCTTAAAGTGGAAGAAACTGAAGGAAAATTGTAATAAAAAACCCCAGGAAAATATATAACTTGCCAGGCTGAGAAAACTCATCCCAACGAAGGTTGAACAGGTGACTCAGAGCCAGTGCAGTTGTCAAGGCAGCACTGGGAAGGAATATCAGTGTAACTTCTCCCAGAGTCAGATTGCAGGAAAGGCTGATTTAACGGCAACTGCACCAGCTTCTCTTCTCCTCTCCACTGAGAAAAAGCCCAAGGGATGAGGACTTGCTCATCCCAACACACAGTGAACGTCAGAGGAACAAACCTGAGCAACTGCCATCCAGTATTTATAAAACCAACTAAATCCATGGCAAAAATAGCCAAGACTTAGAACAGAGAGACTGCAGAATCTGGCAGAAAAAGGCCCCAGGCTGTGTGAATCATTATTTTCTAGAGGAAACCTTGTATAATCCCAGCTACTCTGTTTTAAAACAAATCAACCCTTCCAAAAACTGCAATTAAGAGCTTTGGCAAAGTTCTATTTTTAATTCAGGTGTTTTAGTGATTTGATAGGATAAAAAAATCCCACCTGGTGCTTATTAACTTCATGGTAGCCTACACCCTGCTTTCAGCCTCCCCAAAACCCTAGTCGGAGGCAAAGGGCGGTGAGAGCATCTACCTGGGGCTGGAGAGAGGTGATTAGATTGCATTGCCATCTTGTGGAACAGGAGGAAACCAAACACGGGAAAAGCCCTGCTCAGCCACCACTGCAGCGTGTTACTCTGCAGAACCACCCCAGCAGGGGATGCGCACTGGCTGCTTCTCATTCTCCCCGTTTATCTGAAAGGTCAGAGGAAGCACACGGTGCAAACTGCACAGACATGGTCTGTTCCCCCCATGCTGCTTGGAAGTGGATGGATATGACTGGCAGGAATGAGAGTGGTTAGGGGAACTGCAGCCCAGGGGAAAGGGGCTGAGAGCCGAGAGAGGCTGCACTGGGCACTGGGGCTGTGTGTGGCACTGACACTGTCAGTATTGGTTTGTTCGCCTTGGTAGATATAGAGCAATAAAGAACTGTTATTCCTATTTTCTCATATTTTTGCCCAATAGCCCCTTAATTTCGGAATTATAGTAATTCGGAGGGAGAGGGGCTGCATCTGTCTATTCCAAGGGAGGCTCCTGCCTTTTTGGCAGACACCTGTCTCTCAAACCGAGACAGAACATTACTGAGAAATGGTTAATGTGTGTGACTCTGCACAAACCCCTGGAGATGCCCAAACTGGGAGAGACTGGGTGCAAACAAACGGAACAACAGCCGTAGTAAAACTGAAAAGCCTTGGAGCAAAGCTCGTAAATGCAGCCTAACATTGATTAATGACTTGTGTGAACAATTTGGTGAAAGCTCAATGCAAATTTCTGAAATCTAAGAAACTTATGTCCTCCCAGCGCCCAGCGCGTGCTGCAAAGGGATGAAACGGTGCCAAGCAGCGTGCAAACGTTTGCCTGCAGATGACTGATGATTTTCAACAATAATTTCATTAATGCAACAGGCTGAGATAGTGCATGTTTATCCTTCCGCTGCAATCACTGGGAGTTCCCAGTGACACCCGTGTGGGGCTGCCTGGGGCCACCAAGGGAGTGGGGCGGGAGCAGGACAGCCTTCCCTGGGCAGGGGCGAGGGCCAGCACTGTCAACAGCTCTGGAGCCAGCAAGAGAAACGGCCTTGAAAACAAGCTGCAAATGCAACAACCCACCCCAAGCAGCCCGAGGGTTGATGCCGGGCCTGAGGACAGCTGGAGGTGTGCAGCTGCTCCCTGTAGGGTGCTGTGCCGGCGCGCCAACACCCGCATCCCCGCACAAACCACTCGGGTCCCTGGGAACAGCCTCAGCGCGGTTCGCATGAGAGCGAGATGTTGAAATATTGATTAAAGTTGGATTTCATCAGCAATACTTTGATTTTATGATTATACTGGCTGCTTACAAAGAAACTGCCACCTCTACGTTTTTTTTTACAGTGATTATCCCACTATTCTGCCAGTGTGCTCCTCTTGGATCCACAGCTCCAGGACAGGCACTCCTCAGGAAAGGAAAAAGACATTATGGCTTCAAAAATGAGGCAAAAGCCCAGGAAGAGGCACATGCTGGAATAGTGTGGGGACTGGGCTTGAGCAAGGAAGGGGTGGGCAAGAGGGAAGCACTGCACGCTTGTTTCGATCCGAAGGAAAACACCAAAACCCAAGTGTTACTGAAGTTTTCACCCATTTAAAGAAAACGCCGGAGGAGAAAAAAAGCACTTTGCAGAAGTTCCCTAGCAGGTACCAGTTTTCCTCCTGCTTGGCTTTGTTCAAGGAACAATCGTACATACAGGGAGGGCTTTTCTCATCCTAATATACCAGTCCACTTCCAGTGCCAGGGACAAGGGTGGAAAAGGGATGGGAAGAATGCAATTACAGCCTGTGTCTTCTTCCAGCATTGTTGTTCTAAAACTCAGCACGGGCAGAATGAAACAGCTATCTGAGGCAACACAGTGTTTACATATGCCCAAATTGTTATGCAAACACAGGAAGGCCTGTTGGAGCAGAGGGAACAGGCACCAGAGGCAGCATTTCTCACCACCCCTCACAGAGAAATGTTTTTCAATGTGGAAAGGGTGAGAGAGGTCACCCCCAAGGAATCCAGCCCATGATCCTCCCAGCCTTTGCCTCTCCCATCCTCCTCCTCCTCCTCCTCTCAAATTCCCCAGGCAGCCAGTATGGGCTTCTGAGTTAAAGAGACAGGCTCATCATCCAGGAACATGTCTGGGGCTGCACTTGCATATGGAACCTGAAACGGAGGAGAAATCCCTCCTGGGTGAATTGGGAGCCCCTGTCCACCTTGGCAGGCATGGCGTGTTGCACTCTCCCATGCTCGTGCAGAAAGTGAGACCACAGGAATTATAGGGAGACTCCGAAGGCACACAGGGGTGCTCAGCATCGTTCAAGTGCGCTTAATTTTAAATTGAATCCATCTTGCACCAACATTAAAGATCTAAAATAAAAGAGACAGTCATGAACTCTGCAGTCACGCCTTTAATTCCATCTGGAGTTGGTACGAGAGAAATCAGAGACAAATGCGTCTGACGAGTCAACTTTAACCTCCAGAAGCAGCCACAGGTTTTCATCAACCTACATCAACCAAGCTTCCAACAAGTCATCACTGCTGGAGAACCAAATAAATCCCTGAAATATATTGCCTCATTGCCAGCCTAAGCTTGGGAGCCGCGGCTGCCAGACCTTCACTCCATGGAGTAAAAGCCCCCACCAGGCACAAAAAGGTACGTGACCATGTCAGCTCTTGACTTTCTCTTTACTAAACTACTAAGACAAATTTCAACAACTTCTGACTACAGGTCAGATTTCTACAGAGCATTTTGTGTCTTCTAGCACGGCAAGAAGGAACCACAGGCAGCAGAACCAGACATGCTACTTCCATGAGTGAACTGCCATCACCTCCCCATGGGCTTTGTCCCTCAGTCACTCACCCTCCCTACAGAGACATGCTCTGCCATCACGCACAGCATCCTCCCATGGTCACTGCTGCCAGCTGCCAGCTCTCCATCTGACAGAGGAGACCTGCCCTCACTCCCCTGAGACTGTAACCTTCCTTCGGCTCTGTGGCAGGGAGGCCAGCTCAGCTTACCAGCTCGCACACAGTTGAAGAGTCACCAAGAAGGATTTCATGCCTGGCAGGCTCTGAATGCCACTTGGTTAAGAACACACTAGAAATGCTCCTGTGGCCTTGCTCCCCACTGTGAGTGGTTTGTGAGAGCTGGTAGCAAGTTTTTGCAAACCTAATTAACATGCACCACTCTGATTTCATACAATGTCCAATCAGAACATTGTTGAGTCAAATGGCTTAAGGAAATTAACTGTACCAACACACATCAAGCACAGAGTCCAACCTGCACATCACCTGGAGAAGGCTGTAGGGTGGGGCTTCTGCCTCTAAAAGAAGCTGTCCTCAGGGGAGAGCACTGCACACCAATTAGTAACAGTTAATAACATCATCAGTTAACTGATGTGTGCACAAGCCATTTCCTACCACAGGATGTTGATTTCTTGTCCACCATCTTCACATGCCACGTCTGGTTGCGAAGTTTGTCGTCCGTGTTTTCCACCAGGCTGGTGAGGTCATCGATGATCTCTGGGGAAAGAGAAACATGAGCATTAATCTCTGAGCCCCACAGCATCACTGCTCAACCAGCACACTCCTGCTCCAGGCTCCAGAGCAGAAACCAGCTGCATCCTGCTGTCCTCCAGCAGGACAGACCAGTGCTCACATGCACTGAGAGGTTCAAATTCTGGGAAATTCTACACATGAGGCTTCAACTTCAGGCTGAGTTCACTCCTCTGCTGCAAGAGAGGAAGAACAAATACAGCCTGAAGGAGCTGCATCAGTTTAGGCAGTCATGGAATATAAAACAATGGCAGCCACAAAGCACTAGCCAAAGTGAGGGAATTAGTGCATATAGAATCACGGAATCATCAAGGTTGGAAAGATCTTCAAGATCATCTCGTCCAGCCATCAACCCAGCACAACCATAATCACCCCTAAACCACAGCCCTGAGTGCTACATCTAGATGACTCTTGAACACTTCCAGAGATTCTGACTCTACCAACTCCCTGGGCAACTTATTTCAACGCCCGACAACCCTTTCTGTAAAATCTTTTTTGTAGTATCATAGAATGTGAAAGGGTTGGAAAGGACCTCAGAGATGATCCAGCCCCAACCCCTGCCCTGGGCAGGGACACCTCCCACCACAGCAGGTTGCTCAAGGCTCATCAAACCTCGCTGTGAACACTGCCAGGGTTGGGGCAGCCACAGCCTCCCTGGGCAACCTGGGACAGTGTCTCACCACCCTCACAGGGAAAACTTCGGCCTAAAATCTCATCTCGGTTTCCCTCTTTCCGTTTCTCCCATTGCTCCTTGTCCTGTCCCTGCAGTTCCTAACCAAGAGTCCCTCTGCAGCTTCCCTGGAGCCCCTTCAGCTCCTGGCAGGTGCTCTGAGGTCTCCACACAACCTTCTCTTCTCCAGGCTGAACATCTAATCTGAACCCCTCCTGGCACAGCTTCAGGCCATTTCCTCTCGTTCCTTCACTTGAGACATTGCAGGAGAGACCAACCCTCACCTCACTACATCCTCCTGTCAGGGAGCTGTAGAGAGCAATGAGGTCCTTCCCAAGCCTTCTCTTCTCCAGACTAAACAAACCTAGTTCTCTCAGCCTCTCCCCATAAGACATGTGGAATGGAGTATCTCCACACTGGGCCATGACATCATCATTAAACCACATCCAGAACCACCACCTTCATAAAGGCTGAAGTGCTGAGAGCACTCGGTGCAGTCCCAGCCACGTGACCACAGAGGTCACAGTCAAAGTCCTGTCTTGGCTCCACTACAAAGCTGCAGGGATGGCAGTTCTCCTTGCAGCCCAGATGGTCCTCTGGGAAAAGGAAAGCGGGCAAAGTTTCTCCTACATCTATTTTTAATAGAGTGGAAAGAAAGATTTCAACCTCCTGTAACCGACGACTTTCATTTTGCTTGTACAAGGTACAAGGCTGACACCAAGAGCAACTATGGGTTGGGGTTGTTTAACGCTGAAAATTAAGAGCCACATTCAGGCAGTAAATTTCCTTCTCACTGACTGTTACGCTCTAATTTCCCTGAAGCACAGAGCCAGTGCTCCTGGCTAGGAGCTCAGCACATCGTGTCTGAGCTGCCTCTGCGCTGCAGGTAGGAATGGCTTTCTTTGTGCGTGATAAATCAGGAGGAGGACAGCAGCCAAACCCTGAATGCTACTGCATAGCATTTTGCTCTGGTTACACCACTAGCACTCTCCCCACTCCTGATCACGGTGTTAATAAGTCCATCCTCCCTGTGAGTAGGGTCGGGGTCAGCTGGCGAGCGCTGTGCCCTCAGCTCCTGGCAGGGCCTGGCATCTCTTCCCTGCTGAAACACTGTAGTTCCATGGCCCACAAGCAACAAAAGCAGACTTTAGAGCACACAACATCCAGTTAGCAAGATCTCCTGATATTCTCTTTATATTTACTCTCTCATTTATGCATCATAACTCTCTATGGATGCTGGCTGAGGGTTTAAGAACACAAGTCACACCCACAGGATGAGACCCTTATAAATCAGTCTTTATTGTAGTCCTGTATTCCTTAAAACAAGAGATTTCCCACATTATCTCTCCAAGGAAACTGGGGATGACACTGAAGAGGGCATTCCTTGTACTTTCCAAACTTCCCTGTGACACTGGAAGAAAACCCTGTCCTTGCAAGGGTACTGCCAGTGCATGACATCAGTTCCTGCAGCTTCCCAGGCACACCTGCAGCCCTCTGCTGCCATCCCTCCGACACCAGCACGTAAATGGGAAGGGGTTCCTCCACCATGCACCTTCCCACAGGCAGACGACCACAGAATCATAGAATATGAAGTTGAAGGGACCCACAAGGACCATCAGTCCAATTCCTGCCCTGCCCAGGACCCCCCAACACTGCCCCCTGTGCCTGAGAGCACTGGCCAAACACTCCCTGAGCTCTGTCAGCCTTGGGGCTGTGACCACTGCCCTGGGGAGCTGTTCAGTGCCCAAACACCTCTGGGGGAAGAGCCTTGTCCTGATATCCAACCTAACCCTCCAAGGGTGTTTATGTCTTCAGCCTTACCAAGGAACAAGCACTGCATCCAGATACAGATAAAACCAGTCTGATTGTACATACAGACAACAAGAAACACATATAAAATAATCAGAGTTCTGAAGACACAAAGGAAATGTCAAAGGCACATGTAGCATGGAGCTTTGACTCTCCTGGAGAGCTAAGAGATTTAAGCATCATCCTTCCAATGCATGTTTCAGTCTGCTCCACAAGTACTCTTGTCAGCTCCAGCAAATGCCTATGTAAAACGATATCAGCATCTGAAAAATCCTGTACTTTGCAAATATATAGCATTGTTAAAACATGAGCTCCTGATTTGTGTTCCACAGCCTAAACCATCCCTGTATTCCCAGGAAGGGAGGGCAGAGGGCAAACATCAACTGCTTCCCTGATGCAGCCTCTGGTTCACACTGCACATCTGACCTACCTCCTATGGTTAAGCAGCATCACCCACCACTACTGCTCTATTCCAGTCACAAACTTCATAGTTATGCTCATAATACTCGGGATTTTACAGTTCATCCTGCCCCAAAGCACACCTCCCCAGGTGATGGCAGGGGTTCTGCCTCAGCTGCGAGGTCTGTTCAGTTTGTAGTTCAGACATTCACTCTCCTCCCCCTCCCACCCAACTTTCCCAGGTCCAACATCTGCAATGCCAACAATATTTTGGGGAAACTTTATCTGCCCTGCGTGACTCAGCACGCAGGAAGCACACGGCAACACTGCCTGCACGGGGAGGTCTGTCCCAGTTTGCCTCTCAGTGAACAGAGTGCCTAAAGTTCCCATTGTCGTCAAGGACAAAATGATAAGCATTCTTGGGAACTAAGAGACTTTCCTCTGCCAACACTGACCAGACCCTCCTTGAAAAACATCCTGGTTAACAAGCTGTAGCTAAATGAGAACAAATGGGAGTAGGAAAATTTTCTGTCATCTTTTCAAAGCCCAAGGCACTGCAACTGGGACCATGTCTAGAGCCTCCCCTTTCCCATCATCCTGTCGAGCCAAAGAACTGGACAGTACAGCTTGGGAGAAGCATTTCTCCATGTCTCCCTGTCTCTTGACACAGACAGATGTCAGGGGAGCCCTCTGCACCCACCACCCTGTAGAGAAACCTCCACTCCTCTATCCCCACCAACACACTGTTCTGGTGACACTCAAGTACAGAGCAGTTCTCAACCTTCATGTAAAGGAAAGAATATCTCCCCACTTCAAGGCAAAGGAAACCCATGGGAAATATGGGCTGTATAAGGCAGAGCTGAAAACTAGCAATGAATTTCTAAGGTTGGCAGAGCTGCTGCCAGAGGAAAGTAACTCCATAGCTCAGAAAGCCTTCAGAGCACCGACAATCCTGTCAGAGCTCCGCAGGCTCCCACCTTTCCTGACAGATGACCTACTGCAACCCTCTCTGCCCTTCAAGCTGGCAGTTCCATGTTCCATCAGCTCTCATGTAGATGACTATGCAAGGAGCAAGTTGCAAAGAATGGAGAGAGCCCTGACAGCCAGGAAGGAGCAAGGCTGCCCCATGGGGAGGAGTGGCTGGGAGAGGCAGGCTGGCTGCAGAACGGCTCCAGCAACCTTCCGAAGGACGTTCCTGTAACACTGCACTGCAAACCACAACTCAGCCAGTAACACAAACTTAGCCAAGGTCTTCTTTCAGGGAAGAAGGATCTTGAAGCAGAAGATAAAACCCACTCCACAACCCCAGAATTAAACTCTGAGTCATCTGAGTGCAGCTAAGTGGCGAAAGTTTGAAGGTTGCTCATGCTGGAGGTGAGCTCAGCCAGGAGCTCTATCAGCAGGGACTTTTGCTCAAAAAGCCTTTGGCACCCCTGAACACATGCCCGTGCAGGGTGACAGCCAGCAGCCAGGTGGGATCATTGCCTTGGAGCCCACCAGTGGCTGAGTCAGCCAAACACAGCAGACAGGGAAGCAGCAGGTCCCTGCAGGAGGCACCTACATGGGCACTACCACGTCTCCTCACCTCAGCCCTGCAAGGCCATGGCAAGGAACCACGAACCTGACTCTACACATCTGGATACTTTTGCTGGTGATCAAAGTTATGAGATCTGAGCTGGAGCCCCCAAAGGGCAGGATTTCTTTGGGAGCCTGGTACGGATCAGACAGCACAATAACGGGACCTGAGGCCAATGCATCGTGCCTTAAACCAGGGCAAAACCACGGAGGCGTTTGCTGTGTGGACACAAGCCTGTCTGCAGCACTGGCCTTGCTCCTGCAGCTGTGGAACCAGCACGGGAGAATGGCACCATCATGGGCAGTCCCAGGGAGAGCAGGACGAATTCCACATGCAGATTTACAAAGAAAGCGTGCAGTAAGGGAACAGCAGGGAAAATTTAGGCTGAAACACTGGACACTTTTATTAAAAATCCCCCAGCAGTTTCTGATCACAGGCAATCTGTCAGACACTGCAGAGCAGCCAGGCTAAGCACGGGCCCAGGTTGGAAGAAGCATCCCTATGGAAAAGGTG